GGGGCCATCTGCAGACTGAACCTGCAAAAGGGAGAGCTCTGATTCTTCCTCTCTGCATCTCTGCCTCTCTAATAAATCTTTTTTTTTAATTGGCTTTAATTGAAAAAGAAGTCCTGTCAGAGGAAAGATTTCTAAGCTTCAATAAAAGCAAACTGATGGACTCACTTTGGTGTTTCTCATTCTTGTTCTCATTATCACTCCTTAGGGACAATTTTACGATTTTCTCCCAGGATACACTGGACTCCGACTTGCACACCAAGTGTGCATCTGTTCTTAAATCACCAACAGACCAAAGAGGCAAACATTCAGTGCATCAGATCCCGGCCTGGTGTCGGTCCAGCTCCTCTGCTCCCAGCCCAGCTGGCTAGCAATGAGCACCCTGGGAGGCAGCAGGTCCCTGCCACTCACACGGGAGGCCCAGGAGGAAGCCCAGGAGGAGTTCCAGGCCACCAGCTACACCTGGCCTAGTCCAGATGTTGCATACATTTGGGGAGTGAGCCAGGGAGTGAAAAGATGCCTCATCTCTCCCCTCTCTGCAAGTCTCTCTACCTTCAAATAAAACGAAAACAGTGTTGTTTTTTTGTGGGGGTTTTTTTTTTTTCCATTCCATCCTCAGAACCAATTTTTACTCCCTTAGGAAGGACACCACTTTCACTAAGAACATACTAGTCCTTAATACTTCCTGAGAGGTAGCTGTAAGCCACGTTGACAGAGTCAATATTAAAAAAAAAAACCCAGGACAGTAACAGTATTTCGTTTTGTCGCCTACTACAATTATGACCCACAGAACTATAAGCAAACTGACTAGATGACACAGATCTTCCTTGAGCATCTAGAACAAGGAAGGATCTCTTACAAAGAATATGCCCAACAAGCACTGGATGAGACACTGGACAGACACTGGAATCCTAAACGTAACAGGATGAAAACCTTCCCAGCAGGCCACAAAAACATCAGCTTCAAATCTCAACTAACTCAAAATCTGACTCACTACTACTCTGAAGTCTGGAATTTTCTACAGTCAATTTTCAGGAAGTTAAAAAGACAAAACAGCCTTAAATGAAAACAGATAGCTCCTATTCAGTAATTTTTAACCTTCCTGGTTCACTGAAGGCTTTGAAAGCCTAATAAAACTTCGCCCTATTTTCCCGGGAAACAGACACACAATGGTAGCATTCACAGCGTTTCTAAACTCAATCTACTGACCCTAGTTAAGAACTTCTACGTTGAGGGATGGCACTGTGGCAGAGCCTGGGAGAGCAGCTGAGGAGGGCCCAACTACTTATGTCCCTGAACCCATGTAAGAGACCTGAAAGAAGCTCCTGGCTTTGGACCACCTCAGCTCTGGCCATTGTGCCATTTGGGGAGTGAACCACCAGATCCAAGATCTGTCTCTTTTCTAACTCTGCCTTTCCAATAAAGAGCATCTCCATTAAAAGACGAAATAATCAAAAGCATTAAGTTTTAAAAAGTCAGTGGGGCTGGAGTTGTGGCGATTCTGTTCAGCCACTGTTTCCAATGCCAACATCTCATATCTGTTTTGTTCCTGACCTAGCTTCCTGCTAAGGTGACTGGAGAAGCAGGTGACACGATGCTTGTGTCCCTGTCACCCGAGCGGGAGACCCAAGTGGAGTTCCAAGTTCCTGGCTCTAGTCTAGCCCAGCCCTCACTGCTGTGGCCACTAGATATTGCAGCCATTTGGACAATGAAATCAGCAGACAGCCTGCCACTCCATTTTTTTTTTTTTTTTTAATTTCAAGCATGGGGCCCGGCGCAGTGGCGCAAGTGGTTAAGTCCTCGCCTTGCACGCCCGGAATCCCATATGGGCGCCGGTTCTAATCCCAGCAGCCCCGCTTCCCTTCCAGCTCCCTGCCTGTGGCCTGGGAAAGCAGTCGAGGATGGCCCAAGGCTTTGGGACCCTGCACCCGCGTGGGAGACCCAGAAGAGGCTCCTGGCTTCGGATCGGCATAGTATCGACCCGTTGCGCTCACTTGGGGAGTGAATCATCGGACGGAAGATCTTCCTCTCTGTCTCTCCTCTCTGTATATCCGCCTTTCCAATAAAAAATAATAAAAATAAATCTTTAAAAAAAAATTTCAAGCACGCACAGCAATTCTTAATGTTAACTTTCTAGTTTTAAAAATTGTAAAACTTAAAAATATATAGGGCCGGGCCCGGTGCGCTAGTGCAGCGGTTAAAGTCCTCGCCTTGCCTGTGCCAGGATCCCATTTGGTCGCCAGTTCTAATACCAGCGGCCCTGCTTCTCATCCAGCACCTGGTCTGTGGCCTGGGAAAGCAGACAAGGATAGCCCAGAACTTTGGGACCCTGCGCCCAGAGACCCGGGAGAGGCTCCTGGCTTCAGACTGGTATAGCTCTGACCGTTGTAGCCACCTGGGGTGCAAATCAGCAGATGGAAGATCTTCCTCTCTCTCCCCTCAGTATATGACTTCGCAATAAAAATAAATCTTTAAAAAAATAATAACCTGTCTAAATTTAAAGCTTAGCTTTTAAGAGCAGCCACATTACACAAAATACAAAACTACAAAATTGAAGTGGTCACTACCTAAGTGAATGTTATGGCTAACATTTGGCATCTGTTGGTAATAGAGTGGGTGCCAAGGAGCACTAACACCTAAGCTCACAACAGCAATTCCTGCCCTCAACAAGGGCAAGACGGGGCCAGGAGAGCCTCCTCCATCGGGCATGAGGGGAAGGAGCTCAGTTTACAGTAAATAACAGGGCAGGCACTACAGCGCAGCACAGTAGGTCTGCTTGGGATACCAGCAGTCCATATCTGGAGCAACTGGAGTCCCAGCTCTTCCACTTTCAACTCCGCTTCCTGCTAACGTACCTGGGAGACAAAGGATGCCTGCTACAGCAGGTGAGAGCGCCGAGCTGTGTGCTGGCTCCTGGCGCGGCCCGGCCCTGGAGGTTACAGGCAATCAGGAAGTGACCCAGCAGATGGAATATCTCTACCACTTTTGCTTTCAAATACATAAATCTTTTTTTAAATGCGATAAAAATACAAAACACACACACACGGCTAATTGCTAAAACCAAAAGTTAAAGCAAGCAAAATCCCAGCCCCAGTCCCAGGCAATTCCCTGGGCTTGCCTGCAAAGAGGGATGAGAGGAATTATCCTTCCCTGGCTGTTGAAATCAGCAAGAAATGCTCAGAATTAGTTAGCATACGGACTTTGGCCAGGACTTGCAAAGCATGATGGGTGCCTCCTGGTGCACAGTAAACACAGCAGATGGTTTCAATCACCTGGCATCAAAGAACCTCAAATTGTCTAAATTGTGTAAGTACCATTAAATTTCAACAAGTGCTTTAGGTTATCTTCATGAGAACCTACCACAAGAAAAGAAAGAAAAAAAAAGAAGCGCAGCACGTTGGCCTGTTTTGGTGTGAACACACTTGGAAACCCAGAAAGGTACTTTCTCACCACAATCCCTCACTCCGCCTGACTCAGAGAACTAAAGGCTAGTTTATAAAGTTCTAGTTTCAGAGTTTTCACAAACAAGTCTCAAAAACTGTAAAATGCTTACTCAGGAATGCTTTTATTTTCCTTTTACTTTTCTATCTACAGTGTTAATTTTGTCCCAACAGCAAAAACGACCTAAAGAAAAAATGCTTAATACCAAGATCCAAACTGTAAAACTTCAAATAAATAAATAAAAAAACAAGTCGAATACTTTCTAAAAATCACATTACTAAGATACATCTGACTTTTTCATCATAAAAACAAAAAGTCACTTCCTGTGCAGCCCGCTTTCCTCAGCACAGCTGGCCACTGCACAGGGCCTGGGCACCCCACACGGATAGTAACTTATCTTCGTGGGAAAAAACAACAGACTGTAGACACCCCTGAAGGTTTCCACAAGCTAAGGTTGGCACCTTAGCTCCCTACTTTTAGAATTCTCAAACACATTTGGTAGGTTTCGGTAAACTTCGGCTCCTAAGAATGAAACATTTTTTGCATCTCTTGGTGAATCTGGAAAGCTTTTTGAAAATCAAAACAAAACTCAAGACATTTTTTTGTGTCTGACTCAAAAGGTACTGTCTAAAGTTTCCACAGTGGGATGAACCAAGCTTCAGGCAACACCTTACAGCGCATGAATTAGAGTCTACGCAGGGGCTTGTCTGAATGAGCCACGGTGTCTTCAAAACTGTTTTCTGTAGATGGCTGGATGGCTTTGTTAACTTCAGAATTCAGGTGTACACGTACACACACACACACACACACACACACACACACACACGATCATTTTCTCTCATTTCCAAACACCAAATACTTATCCCGACTTTACCCTACCTAAAGCTTTAGACACTCTGGCACCTCCCGGAAAAGTTCCTCCTTGACGATGGCCAAGACCTCCGCAGGCCCGTCAGACCCGACCAAACGCAGCGCTATGCTCAAGACGAGCTGTCACCCAAAGCAACTTGCACTAGAAAGTCATCTTCCAAATATCCTAAGAATTCTTTCAACTTTACTCGGTAAACTTCTTCCTTCACTACCATTTCATCGAATTTCCCCTTCACCCCCAAGAGTTAGGTCTTGAAGATCTGTGAATCCTCCCTCCCAGGTGCCCAAACTCTGCAAAACCACCCAAGCAGCTGGGATGCGGGCGGCTCCAGGTGTTGTGGTTCACTGGGCAATCACTTGGTGGGGGCGGGGGGTGTTGGAAGTGCACCTGGGTTCTACACGGGTTAAACACGCGGGCAAAAGAGCGAGGACCGAGAGCAAGAAGAACGAGTGTGCAAAAGGATAGGGGAGGAAAAAAAAATCCAAACACTTTAAACGCCAACAACCAGAAAAACACCGGGCCGCGAAGCCAGGCAACAACTCCGACGCGCCTCGGGGGCGCACGGTGCGCTCCGGGGCGCGCGGCTGGCACGGCACGGGCGCAGGTGCGCCCACCTCGAGCCCAGCAGACGCCCCGGGCCCCGCGCCGCCCGCCGGCCCTCCAGCCCGCGCCCCGCCAGCCGCGCCCGCACCTCTCGGTCCTTGAGGCCCAGCAAGAGCACCTCCTCCATCAGGGTCAGCCGCGTTTCCTTGGAGTCGCCCTTGTCGTCGTCGTCCTGCTCGTCGCGGCGGCCCTGCGCGTCGTCCTCGCCGCTGCCACCGCCGCCGCCCGCCGCCCGCTCCTTGTCGGCGGCGTTGCGGGAAGCCTCGGTGCGCCGCTGCACCAGGCCCGAGCTGCGCTGGGTCAGCGAGGTCATGGCTCCGGCCGAGACGCCGCGCGGGCCAGAGGGACGCGGGTCCGACCGGCTCTCCCTCCTCCTCCTCCGCCTCCTCCGGCGGGCCCCCGCCCCGGGCTTCCGTGTTAGATCCGGGTGCTGGGACGACGTCGGTCGGCAGCTGGGCCCGGGGCAGTCATGAGGAGATGGGCTGGGCTTCGGCGGACGCGGAGAAGGGGGGTGCCTTCCTGCCTCCGCCCGCGGCCCCTGAAACGGCCCGAGCTCCGAAGCGGCGGCGGCGGCGGCGCCTCTCCAATATGGCGGCACCGGCTGACGTCACCGGAGGATGTGGCAGAGCCGGCGCGGCGAGAGCCGGGAGGACGCCGGAAGCGGCGGGTGGGAGCGGCCGGCCCTTGCCGCCGCCTACCCGCGCTCCGGCCGCGGCCTCCGGCCCTCCGCTCCGCGCGCCCTCGGGTCCCCGCCTCGGGCCTGGCGCCGGTGACGTGGCCTCCTCACGCTCGCCTCCCCTTGTGGTCCCTCACGAGCCGCGAGGCCCGCGCTGCCGGGCGCGCGCGCGTGCGTCTGAGGAGCCGAGGCCGCGCGAGAGTGGACGCCGCCGAGGCTGGAGCGCCCTGGGCTCCGCAGGAACCCCGCCGGGCCGGGCCGGGCCGGGCCGGGCCGGGCCGGGCCGGGGGGACTGGGCTCGCCGCCCGCGGGGCGCGAGAGGGGCTTCTCCAAGACTCTTCTCGCGGGGACTTCGTGGAGTGCGGGAAAGTTTGCTTTCCCGCAGCGACACGGCGCTGCGCGGTGGCCGGGCGCGGGAGTCCTGCACAGTTAGTTCGGCACGCGACCGCAGGGGCGATCTTTTTATGGAGACAATAAAGCTGCTCGGTTTCATGCCACGTCTCTCTCTGCGTAATGACTGGGTTTAACCCTCTTGATGTGCTGAGTAGTTGGTGCAAATGACGTTACAGAATAACTGTCCCATCTGCGAGAGGCGGGATAGGATGGGTGGTGCGGGTTCAAGTACCACATTATCCAGAAATAGCATTGTGCGCCGTCCAGAATTGTTTAAAATAAACGGTGGCCACACGCTGCGGTTTAGCTAGATTCTGACCCTTCCACCAACCCATTCTAAAGAACTCCTGAGTCTGGCGCCATGGCCTAGCGGCTGAGGTCCTCTTCACTTTGAACGCGCCAGGATCCCATATGGGCACCGGTTCTAATCCCGGCAGCTCCACTTCCCATCGGGCTCCCTGCTTGTGACCTGGGAAAGCAGTGGAGGACGGCCCAAGGCCTTGGGACCTTGCACCTGTGTGGGAGACTTGGAAGAAAGCTCCAGGCTCCTGGCTTCAGATCGGTGCAGCACCGCGGTTGCGCTCACTTGTGAAGTGAATTATCAGACGAAAGATCTTCCCCTCTGCCTCTCCTCAAGTCAGTCTGTATATCTGACTTTGTAATAAAAAAAAAAAAAGAACTCCCATGGCCACAGTCAAGGCTGCCAGCAAGACTGCAATAGAGAGAAATGGGAACAGGATCCATGCCAAGCCCTCCAACCTCTTTCAGGCCTAAGACTGGCCCCTTCTCAACCATGTTCTGCCACACTCATCCTCTTCCCAGTTCTTTACCAAGTATTTTGATAAATATGTCTCTTTGTAAAAAGATACAGTTGTTGCTGGCTTAAAGTGTCCAACATGTGTTAAAAAAAAAAAAAAAAAAAAAACGGATGGCAAGCTGAAGGGAGTGGGCCCGTCCAGATTGCCCAGTTCCTCCCCGTTCAAGTGCCAGGATCCCATATGGGTGCCGGTTCATGTCCCAGCTGCTCCACTCATATCCAGCCACCTGCTGATAGCCTGGGAGGGCAGAAAGGATGGCACAAGTCTTTGGGACCCTGCACTCACGTGAGAGACCTGGAAGAAGCTCAGCCCTGGCCATAGTGGTCACTGGGTAAGTAAACCAGCGGATGGAAGGTCCATCTGTCCTTCTTTCTGTAAATCTGTTTCACTCTTGCAATAAAGTAAGATAAATATAACTTAAAAAGATGTGGAGAGCAACGCTCTCCGCGGGCATGCAGTCCGGTTATCCCCGCCCTAGATTTTAAAATATGCCAACAGGTTCTGTGGGCCTCTTTCTGTCGAATGCGAAGCCTGGTTGTGCTTGGGGTTGAACATCTTACGAGGACTGCACGGTGGGCAGCATGGGCTGGCTGGGTGCCACTGGTCAGAGCAGGTCGCAGGAATGTTCCCAGCGTCCTCCTGTCCCATTCACTCCAAGAAGCCTGAAACCGGGTCTCACAGTCACACCCTCCCACCCGGGGTCAGCCCTGGGAGTGACCCACCATGAGCAAGTCATCCAGCTCTGGTCAGGACCTCCACTGAGACCAGCCCTTCCCACGACTTCACTGAATCCTCGTGAAGGATTCAGAGCTGGTCACAGTCAGCAGGACCATTCTCAGATTCCTGTCCTGTCGGAAGTTGGAAATGATGAACATGTGGAGGGCACATGCTGTGGCACCGCACGTGAAGCAGCTGCTTGGGAATCCCACAAGGCAAATGGGGGTGCCTGCCTGGGGTGCTGGCTGGCTACCTTCCATGGGCTTCGTGCCGACACCTTTCTGCCTCCCAGGTGACAAAGCGTATGGAGTTCCAGATCCTGGCTTCAGTTGGGTTGTGCCTGGCTGTGGTGGCATTTGGGGAGTGAACTGCCAGAGGGAAGATCTCTCTCTCTGTCCCTCCACTTTACAAGTATAAATCTTTAAGTATCTGATCTAGCTGCTAAATTCAGACTAACATGTTATGCAGTAATAGGTACTAACATACGTAGCTTGTGCACACACACACAACTTTGTAAACATGAACCTTTCCAGGGATTATTAGTGTATATTTAGGGAATAAGAATATAGACACTCCTCCCATATTATACTGAGCACAGCACATTATGCAGCTGTGTGTCTTGAACCCTTCCCACTTGGTTGGTCTATCAGAACCCAAGAACCCGACCAACATGCACCAAAGTCTCCATGGATGTGTGCTTAGGTCGTCTCCAATCCTTCGCTGTTACAAACAATGCTACAATAAATAGGACAATATTTTTAAAAATAAAATATTTTTTAATTAGAAAAGCACATTTACAGAGAAAGGGAAAGATAGAGAGGAATATCTTCCATGTGCTGCTTCACTCTCCAAGTGGCCACAACAGCTGAAGCTGAGCTGATCTGAAGCCAAGAGCCAGGAGCTTCTCTGGGTCTCCCACACCAGTGCAGGGTCCCAAGGCTTTGGGCCATCCTCAACTGCCTTCCCAGGCCACAATCAGGGAGCTGGATGGGAAGTGGAGAATCTGGGACACAAACCAGTGCCCATATTGGATCCTGGCACATGCAAGGCAAGGATTTAACAACGAAGCCATGCGCTGGGCCCAAATACAAAAATCTTGTCCACAAAAATATATGCTCATACTCTACTCCTGTACCAATAGCACAGTCTGCAAGTTATTGAGGCTACATGACTTTGTTGCTTTTGTCTTCTTTTAAGGTTTAGGGATATTTTTGGTTTTTTGTTTTTGTTTTGTTTTGTTTTTGCATTTTCCCTTATTTTCCAGGCAGACTTCAAAATTACCTTATCAAGAAAGAAAGAAAAGGGATCATTTCAGGCCCCAAATATCCATCCCTGCAATGACAAGGACTCTGTGTTATTGGTGCTGCGGATGTGCCAGGGCTGTTCTACAGTGATCACGCTCCCCTCCCCCCCATACCGGACCATCCACAGAGCCTGTGGGTGGGGTCCTGAGGAGCAGCTTGGTGCGGACTCCCCCCAGCCCAGGCCTTGCAGAGTGGCTGCACTGCTATTCATGGCCACCTAGAGAGGCTGGAAGCGAGGAGGAGGGAGTGATTTCAGTAGAAGAGGTTCGCTTCCTTCCTGGCAAAGGTGGTGCTTGGAGAGAGCGCCACTTAGTGCAGCAGGCTCAGCAGCACAGCCCCTGCCCCGCTCCCTGCGCTGGTGGTCCAAAAGCCTTGCTCTGTAGCCTTGCTTCCCCACAGCCTCAAACTAAGACACCCATCTCACCTGAGAGGGAACAGGCTCGAACACTCATCTTCCCAGAGTCATGTCTGGAGAGTTGCAGACCTGGGTTAGAACACAGGCCCTGATGCAATCACTGGACAAATATTTACATTTGCACATGCCTGCTACGTACCAGCCAGTGTACTCAGCAATGAGGATATTAACAGCAAGCCAAAAGATTCAGCCTCCTGTTAATGCATCTAGGAAAGCACCAGCAAAAGATGGCCAAATCACTGGGCCCCTTTACCCACATGGGAGACGCAGAAGAACCTTCTGGATCCTGGCTTTGATCTGGCCCAGCCCTGGGCCATTGCAGCTATATGGAGAGTGAACTAGTGGATGGAAGATTCCCTATTTGCTTCTCAGTAACTCTGCCATTCAAATCAAAATTAATGAGTCTTTAAAAATCTTTTTTGTGGTCTTTATTCAGATAAACATCATGGGAAGCAAAAGGGATACTGTGAAATGTCTTTACGGGAAGGGCATTTTTTTAAAAAAAAACTCATCAGATACTCCAAGAGGGTGGTCAAAGCAGACTAGCCTGTTGCCCCAGTAAGATAGTAGGGCCTGAGAGTGACTCTGGCTCCACTCACAGAAGAGAAGGTGAGAAGCAAAACTGACAAGATGCAGTGACTCCCTGGGGTGTACTGCTCAAGGGAGAGGAGTTGTGGAGGATGCCTTGCCCTCTGGCATTGGGAAGAGAAGAAGGAACATATTAGCAGAGGTGAGGACCACCAATAAACAACTAGGTTTGCATAGGTTGGTCTCTGTTGAGCATTTGATAAGTGTGTGAAACCTCCAAGAGGACTTGCTGTAGGGACAATGACAAGTAGACAGTTGTATGTACAGAAACTTTCTATTTGAATATAATTTTTTTAAAAAGTAAATACTTTGCAGACAAAGCCATAAAAGTACCACTAGAAAACAAGAAGTGAAATCTCAAACTGTGAAGGCAAGAATCCTCTATCAAAATCCAATCAAAATATTCTTGACATTTATTTCCTTTCATCTTATTTAAACAGGAAAGAGAGAGCTCTTCCATCTGCCAGTTGACTATATTTTGAGTGTTTCAAGACTGGGCCAGGTTGAAGCTGGCCATCTGGAACTGCCTCCTGCAGTGCGACGGGGACCGGGCATTGGCTTCTTCCTCTGCTGCCTCCTGGGATTCCATCAGCCGGAAGCTGGATCAGAAACGGCAAAGCCGGAACTCACCAACCACTCAAATACAGCATGCAGACATCCCACGAAGGGGTTCAGCCTC